ATCTAATGAAGATCCCCAAACTTCCATTTATTTTGATAGTCCCTGACTACCTAATGAAGTTCCATGAAAATCTTTTTTTCTGATATTCCCTAAATATACAGCAAAGTTCCATGAACTTACCTTTATTTTGATAGTCCCAGACAATACAATAAAGTTCCCTGAACTTTTTTTTTCTGATAGTCCCCAACTATACAGCAAAGTTCCCCGATCTTTATTCCTACTTTTTTCCAGTTTTTAACAAAACTATATGTTAGATATTTTAAGGTGTATTCATTCATCTGAAGCAGGCCCCTGTGAAGCAATATTCAATTAAAAAGTTTATTTAATACATACAGTATGTAAGGCATAAAATACAGTGCTGGGCTATTTGGGAGAAACACACACGATGGAATCTTCTTACAAAATGGTGCCGAGCTTATGGTAACACATTATTTTCTTCAGAACAAGCCACATCTCCAACAAGTGGTTGTCATCAATGACTATGGGAATCTTATGATCACATGTGACCAGCCAATAGACCATCACCTACTAACATGTTTGATCATTGGTGTTTTTGTCTGCTGTGGTGTACTTTGTAGAAACGGGCCTGTAACTATAAATCTTTCCTACCAGAAATAAAAATTTCTTCAGAACCGAAGCTCTGCCCTGTCTCTTTCTCTCTTTAACACAACAACGTTATAATATCAAAATGCCATATGAAAGTTATGAAAATACAAACAATATACATTCAAGTAAGATCAAATATAGTTCAATATGTTGAATAAAATCAGCTCCGGGAAGCACGGTGGCACAGTTGATAGAGCGGCCGCCTCTCAGCGAGCAGGTTGCCCGGGTTCAAATCCTGGCCAGGGCCCTTTCTGGGTGGAGTTTGCATGTTCTCTCTGAGCATGCGTGGGTTTTCCCTGACTAGTTCGGTTTTCTCACACAAAACAAAAACATGTCACAATCCTCGTGTTTTCGACCCATATGCAGGCAGGCAAGTGAAGGAAGGAGTTTAAATTTAAAAAATTATTTAAACAACAAAACAAAAAGCTGACGGGGCAGCACAAAGACTTACTCCAGCTAAGTAGCGAGTAGTACAGAGCAGAATCATCAGACAGACAGACGGACGGACGGACGGACGGACGGACGGACGGACGGACGGAACCAGAACAGGAGGAGGAGGACTGAGAAGTCTGTGCATAAACAGAACAATGACCATGTGTTTGTGTAGTGAAGAGGAGAGGTTTAAGTAAGGCTGAGGGAGATGATGAGTGCACATGGGCATGTAGCTGATTAGGGACAGGTGAGAATGATCAAGACTGGAGAAGCAGACTGAGGAGTGAATGAGAGTGACAGAAAACAGACAGAACAGAATCTCACAAGGAGCAGAATGGATTAAACACAAAAAGCAGAAAAGGGGTAAACACAGAAATTCAAGACAGACAATGGACAGACTGTGTCAAAACATGCATGCCAGTCTGATTGGTAACTCTAAATTGTCCCTAGATGTGAAAGAGAGAGTGAATGTTGTTTGTCTTGTTTGTCTCTATGTGGCCCTGTGATGGACTGGAGACCTGTCCAGAGTGTATACTGTGTCTCGTATAGTGATGGTTGGACATGGGCACCAGTGACCCCATGACCAGAAAAGGAAGAAGCGGGTAAAGATAATGGATGGATGGATGAAAATTAGCTCCTTACCCTTAGTGCGTGTGACATGTTTTTGGTCAGAATTCTGTCACCTCCCTTGACCCACCTGCAGACCTGGCCTCACTAAAATCGACAATTCGGCCAAAGGACTTTCAATTCAGTAAATCAAAACTCCATGTACAGATTCAGATCCAAGCCTGGTGTTCCGAGGTCAGATTGTGGGGCTGGCAATCGAAGGACCAAAATGTTGGTGAGAAATATTCTTGCTTTATCCTACTTATTCAAAAAGAACCACTCCCAATGGGAGGATATTATTTTTTACCTTTATTTACTTGCAAGGTCAGATTTTCAGTACAGGTTACACAAATATACATAAAGTAAACTCATATTGACCAGTCACAAGAATATGCCCTGAAATGCCTTCTGAGCTTCAAGTTATACCCCTATCAGTTCACTGAGTTCACAGAACTTGAAGGTGTCCTTGGCATGGTTATGACATGATATAGGAAATCTTACCAGCGAACCTGTTTAACAATAGAAAAGTGTCTGGTACAGCGTTGTTTCATCACTACCAAAGAGGGGAACATTTATTTCAACTCACCTTTAGTTATTTTACAGCAATATCATGGGTTACTTTAGGACAAATAGCTCATTCTTTCTTTCTTGATCTGCATCTCTAATGGTGGTTGGTTAACAGTATAATTGTCTCATCAGTCTTCTGACGGGCTTTGTAATAGAACATTTTGAACTATTTCTTTTCCTCATCAGTAAACTTGAAAGTTTGAAGCACTGTGTATCTCAAAATTATTGTGAAAATTAATTTACCAGGCAGGTGATCCTTGCTGTTATTAATAGCAGTCTGTCTTAAGGCACTGGCCCAATAAGCTTTAACCCCCTATTTAAAACCTTAGCCTAGACCAAACTGTCTCGGCTATTTTTAGGCCCATTTTCAAGCTGCCTTTTATTTTTTTAAATAAAAAAAAAGGTATATTCCCATGGTCAAGTGTTTTTTGGATGAGCACAATATCCTGAAGGTTTTTCAGTCAAGCTGCAAAACTCAGCACAGCACAGAATAAACTTTAGTCAGAGTTTTTAATGACATTCTTGTGGCTAATGATTCTGGTGAATATGTTATTGTCCTGATGAATCTAATTGCTGCCTTTGTGGACCACAACATTTAATATCACATTTACAGCACCAAGTAGGTATCTGTGGTACTGCAATGTCATATCTGGCAATTAGAAACATGTGTTTCAACATAGCTGGTTCTGAATCCTCCACTGCTTCTCTGTCTATTGGGGTTCTACAGGGCTCTGTTTTAGGCTCCCTACTTTTTTCTTTTTACCTGCTTCCTTTGGGCTCAATCCACAGAAAGCATGTATTTTCACTGCAATGCTGAAGAAAGTCAGATTTATATTCCACTAAAAACAAAAGATGCCCTCTCAATTAGGTCACTTCTGTTGTGTCTTTAAGACATCAAAGCCTGGATGTCCTTAAACTATTAAAATTTTAATGAAAAGAAAACAAAAGTTTTGTTCTTTGTGGCTCCTATGATCGTTCCCCTGCTCATCTGGGCCCTCTGGTGCCGCATGTAAAGCAAATAGTTTCTAACTGGGGTGGACAGTGATATTAAATTAGGTTTCCAGATTGGAGCGGTGGTCAAGGCCAGTTTTTAATCCCCTCGGGCAGCTGGCTATAAAGTAAAGCAGATCCTGACACAACAGTAGTTTGAAACTGTAAGCCATGCCTTGATCATATCTCGGCTAGATTACTGTAATGTTCTTTACCTTGGAGTCAGCAAGTCCTCCCTCAGTCATTTACAGTTGGCCCAGACCAATACTGCTTGACTTCTAATTGGAGTTCATAAGAGGGAGCACATACCCCCACTCTGGCTTGGCTTCACTGTCTGTTCATTTTAGAGGTTTTTTTTTTATTTTTATTCTTTTATTTGTTTTTCAAAGCTTAAATGTTCTTGCCCAATCCTACCTTTCTGACCTGCTTCACCTGTACTCTCCACCTCGGTGCCTTAGGTCCACTGATCAGCTGCTTTTGGTGGTGTCGAGGTCCAAATCGAGGGTCAGAGGGGACAGAGCTCTTCCTGGTGCTGCTCCAAATTTATGGAGCGATCTCCACTTCCCATCAGACGAGCCTCTTGACTGAACATTTTTAAAACTCTTTTAAAAATGCATTTTTGTTCCCTGGCTTTTGGCACAGCTTGAAACTTGGACTGCATGAATGTTTTTATTTTTTACTGGTTTTACTGTTTGAACTGTTTTATTCTTTTATTAGTTTAAATGTTATTGATTTTATATTCACAGCACTTTGTTGCAAATGTGCTTGTTTTAAAGGGCTTTATACATAAAGAAGAAGTAGTAGTAGTAGTAGTAGTAGTAGTAGTAGTAGTAGTAGTAGTAG